TTACGGCCCATCGCTGGCAGTCCGGAGTCACGTAGTGTGGAACGCCACTAGACGGGAACTCTGGGAGACGGCTCGTCTGAGTACGACCCACCGGCTGGCAGTTCGTGAGTAAGTATTGGACGCAATGACTCACACTGAGGGTGACGGAGGTTGCGGAGACAGTCAAGTGAATTGTCCAGTGAAACAACCGCTCAAGCCATAGGCAGCTCTTTTCCATAGGGGCTGATTGGCCTTGGAGATCAGGATTCGTTCTCTTCTTGTTCTTGCTTTTCGCGGTTTCCGTGTTTCGATTTACTTCGCGGTTGGTGGCTTGCACGAGGCCTCGGAGCAAAACGTGCCATTGGCCTGGCTCCAAAAACGGATGAAGGAGGTACCCGCGATATTCGCATGGGCAGTCCTCGTGCCGCCTGCCACAACCTGTGTTCATGATTGTGTGACATCTCAGGCCTAGCCACTGTTGAAAGGCCGGCTGCACGGCCACAAGCACAGCCCTAGAGCGTGCTGAGGAGCAGCCTTTCACTCTTTCTGGAGCGCCAGTGAAGCCGACATCTGCCTTATAAGGGTGGGTGCTGGCCCAAAATTTACGGGCATGAATGCACAACATGGGTGCCTGTCCGTCGGAAGGCCGGACCCCACAACGGGTGGGCATGACCCGCCCCGCGTCAAGGCCAAGAATGTCTTGAGCACTCGCAGGCCCCCCACAGGCTTTAGGCTAAGGCTCATTTCGGATTGGCTTTGCTCCTTGATTTGTTTGTTTGGTTTTTGTTAGTGGGTTTCTGGGTGCTTTTTGCCTTTGCCTTTCAGAATTGTGCCGAAGTCGGTTTTAACCCGTTAGTGAGTGCCAAAGCGGTAATCGCCCGCAATGCACAGAGCACGCTCGCGCAGCGTTCAATTGAATTGAAAACTGCTGCTGTTGTTGGTTGCTCTTGTTGTTGTTGTCGTCGTTTCTGCTGCTGCTGCTGCTGTTGTTGTTGCTGCTGCTGTTTTTTTGTGTTGGTGTTGGTATTCGTGTTTGTGATGGTGACGGTGATGGTGTTAGTGTCGGTGCTGGTGCTGGTGCTGATGCTGGTGTTGGTGTTGCTGTTGTTTGTGTGGCTGTTGTTGTCGTCGTCGTTATTGTTGTACTGTTGTCATTGTTTGTCATTTGTTGTTGTTTTTTCAGTGTTTGCTGTTTGTTGTTTTTCGTGTTTATCCAATAAGCTTTTGGTTGCAAGGGGCGAAAGTGCGGCTATATACGGCTGTCGAGCTGTGACGAGTACCACTGACGTTAACCCTCACAATACAGCTGTCAAGGACCACACTTTGGGCTGGGGACGCTGGACAGATACAGACTGGGAGGACGGCCCCCGGGTTGTGGGGCAAGGGGTCCACCTAGTGAGATTCGGAAGATGACGTTGTGTCAAGGCCGTGAGTGAACCTTAATTGTAAACGCTTCTTTACCATCATCCGATTTGCTCGGCTCAAACAGTGGTTCTGGGTTCCGGGTCAAGGGAGTTTTTACTAGTCACAAGTCACAGATAGCCACAGACAAGCGAACAGGGACGAAATACAACGTCATTGTCATGTAATTAATCCAAAAACCATGTCACACGGTAAAAGCTTGGGAATCCAAGTGTGTGGTGTGACCCGGAATCGTTGTTGTTTTCCTTGAATCCCGACTCCGACCGTCACGGAGAATACGGAGAATTGAACACGTGAGTTGCATCGAACAACTTGCTACGATCGCGGTAGCCATGCAATTGCACCTGCCATCTTTCTTGCCGGACCGCAGGTTGCACGGCGGTAGCAATCCGGACCAGGGTTCTATGTCCCGTCCATTGGTAACGCTAACGCTGATCATGTTTCAGGGGGTAAAACCCGAAACTGCACGGCCTCAACCCCGAAAGCTTAACACACACACACACACACACTTTTCTGTGTGTCTATATATGTGTATATACATTTATCCTTACTATGTATTTATACTATTACTGTATTTTCATGGTTATGACATGTACATAGATCTCTTTTTGTATATACATATATCATCATCATCATCATCATCACCCCCCATGACCGGCCACCCTTCAAACAAAACACCGCTTTCACTGGCGATTCCGGTCTGTCGCGTGGGTGGAGGATTCAGGGCTTGCTTTCGTCTGGTTTCAACCACTCAACCGAAGATGAAGAAACACAGAAAGCACCAGAGATCCAAAGAGAAAGCCATAATTTTGTTTCCGTTGGTCTTCATTTGTATGGCTTTAACCCCCAGCCCGAGACCAAAACCAAACAACCTAAGATCCAGAGATGGTGCTTGAACTGTTTGTTTTCTTGTGGTTGTGTTTTGTTGGTTTTGGTGTTCTGAGTACTCTGGAGAATTGGCAATGTACAGTAAAAGCTGTTGTAATACCGCATTACCAAAAACCACAAACACGAACAAACCAAACAAACCAAACCAACAAGGATCCAAAACGAAAACAATTCCGGCGTTCTCTTTAGATCTTGTTTTTGTGTCGTCCTTCATCTTTGGTGTTGCGTGCGCTCTGGCCGGAAATGCTCTTACCGAAGCCCGAAACCTCAAACCCTGTACGAAAGCATCTACATGGTCCTTTTCAGGACTCTACAACTACTGGCTTATGTATGTTTTGTTAGTACATTTTTTCTTGAATGATCAGGCACCGGTAGCCGTTTCAGAACAAGTTCATCGATCCTGCTTTTGTGCTTACACAAGCCCATATATGTTACCCGGATTACTAAGCCTCACACATGAGCAAAATCTGCAACAGATATCCCAGAAGTATCAATCATCAACCGTATAATTAGTTTCAATAGACCCTGCCGGTTGAATAGCTTTATTTGCACTCTTGTTCAAGCCGATTCCATATCTTGGTCCGTTGTGCTTAACTAGCTGCCGTTGTCGGTTTTTGATACACACACACGGACACGTTCATTGAGCTTCCACGTCTTTATGCAGAGTCATGTCACTATCGTTGGTATGTATTGCAGCCCCTTCCATCAACCAGCGGTTCATGACGTCATTCAGTCATGTATACACCAAGCTGTGCGGCAAGATGAGTGTCTGCATAATTGTAATCTTAGCATCATTTCCATTACACTCGTCTTCAGTTGTATCTGTCCAAGTCACAGTAATTTCAGCAATACCAGCAATCCGTGGCCCTTTATCATAGTTGTAGGTGCTGGGATTTTTGCTACATTTGTAGTCGTCATACACCTACAGTCCTGTGTTTTGTAGGAAAATCGCTGCAAATAGGTTGAACCTAGCCAACGATGACCATTAAAAGCTCATGTATGTTAGAATCTGTTATTGTGCTGATCCGATCTGTGTGTTGTAAGCACCTGTTAAGGCCACACAGACATGAATCAACGATTAAATAAAGACCACCCCGCATGCAAACATTAAGCACGCATAAGTAGACATCTTATATACTTGTCTTATGAAGTGTGTAATTCAAGCCGTTTTCGCACATCGTCAGTTTTATCGTGAGTTTCCCCATAGTAAGTTCTTCAATCGTAGACGAAGAGGAAACTTCCGCGCTGAATCACCAGACGACAATCAATTAACTGGTTAGCAGTAATATTATTAATATATATGTTAGCGCACGACAACAGTGCAGTTCATCAAAGATTGTTTCGCAATCATGTCGCAGAAAGACGTGCCAAATGGATAGTTAAGTTCTCCGTTGGAACTACCTGCGATTTGCCTAATTGTGCATTGCTGCGGGTCTTACACAAGCAAAGGTTGAATGACGTCTTAGCAGAACAATGGGCTCGAGATATAAGTCGAGGCACTCAACCCCAATATGACATCCTTAAGCCCTTAGGCCGCTTCTTTGAATCTTATCTTCCCTCGGATAGTCTGTCGCCGGGGAGTGAGCTGATATATATATATATACACACATACATACATACATACATACATACATACATACATACATACATACATTAATTAATATATGTTTTCAGTTTGGGATATGGTGGCTGTGTGCCAGGTCCCGGGCTCCAGTGGTCACACTATGGCAGCTGCCGTGCAGAAGCTTAGATGCTTTCAGGTGTCAGAGACCTCAACACCCCTCATGAAGCAAGAATTGTTGATCCGTCGTTGAGCACCCTGAGCTTTGTGAACCCTTCAGTGATTTGGGAGACACAGTTGGTGTTGAAGGAACTTCAACATTACTTGTACGGCAATATATTTAAGCCGTGTGCACCAATTGTCGTTGAACCAGGCTCGAGGCCCAAATAAGTGCGCTTTTGATAACATGGGCTTTGTTCGAGCCCTGTCTTCAGTTTCAAATAACGCTCGAAGTGAACATGACCCGTACTCGGGCCTTAATATGCTCATATTTAGTTATGTCGGGCACTTCAACCCGTCCCCTTTCCCAGCTTGAATAGCCCTGTTGCAATGCATTCAGGCCCCTAGCCACTTTGTGAACCCCGATGACCACACTGCCAGACTCGGAGAAGCCACGAGACGTCATGACTGAAATTTCTTGGAAATGTTCAGAACAGCTCAGTGAAGCAGGCTGCTAGCATGATACACCATGCATGTTTCTATCTGGCTTCGGAGAATTATCGGAAGCAGTTGGGGTTAGGCATATAGTTAAGACGAGTCATGCTTGTTTTCTGTATCCCAACACAACGAATGGAACTCGGTGGTGCCGCTGTTTATGTGAATGCCATCGACAAAAAGGGAGAGTGTGCAAAAAAATAAAGCGTTCGAAAGGCACTAGGTCATCTGAGAAAAAAGAACAATCCGATCGGAAGAGGCAACAGAAGTTGACAGGGAGGCATGGAGGAGAGTTTGGGGAAGGAAGAGCAAGCCAATCGAAAAGGACCAGCAAGTTTGGGAAACAGGAACAAACCGCTCGAAAGAGACTGGAGAATTTGACAAAGAGGCGAATTTTTTTACAAGCCGGAGCAAGCCGGCGGACAAGGACTATCAAACCCTCGATGCAGGCAGGAGCAAAGCCGCACGAAAGAGAGTAGAGAGTTTGACGAAGAGGGGAGCTTAACACAGGAGCAAACCAGTCGAAGCTATTGGGAAATTCGTGACAGAAAGAAAGGAGACTTTGAGAAAGAGGAACCAACCAGTCGCACAATAGTAACTAGTACTGATACTGGGAAACAGGTGCAAACCGCGGATCGACAAAGAGGAGAACCTGAGAAAGCAGAGCAAAGTCGAAAGGGACCAGAGATTTGACAAACAGAAGCAAACACCGCTCGAAAGAGACTGGAGCATTTGTCAACCGGAGAGGTTGAGAAAGGGAGAGAGAGGCCGTCGACAGACACTAGACAGGTCGAGAAACAAAAGCCGTTGGAAAAAGACTCTATAGAGCTTCTGAGAAAGCTGAATTAAACATTCGACAGGGGATTATAATTTCACAAAGAGTTCGAGAAGGACGGGCAAACACCGCAAACGAGACTCCATGGACTTTGACAAGGGAGACCGCGAGAGCAAGAAGCAAACTGGTCGAGAAGGACTAGACGATATCAGAAACAGGAGCAAACCGGCCAAGACTTCGACAGAATTTGACGAAGAGGGTGAGACAGAGGAGCAACCCAGCCGAAAGGGAGTATGTCGAGTTTTCTACAAACACGAGCAACTCATTTGAGAGAGGTTAGAAGCCTTACAAAGACGATAATGTGCAGAAAATGAGCAAACCAGTCGAAGAGATTGTGAGATTTGAGGAACAGGACCAAGCTGCTCGGAAAAGACGACAGAATTGGTCGGACAAAGAGGAGGATATGAAAAAGTGGAGCAAATCTGTTTGTTGAAGGGGACGAGAGCCTTTAAGACACATGTGCTAACCGCTCGCAATCGACTACGGAGTTTGAGCAAGTGGAGTTTGTGAGAACGAGGGGCACGATGAACGAGACAGCCGAGGTTTCGCACTCTGGGTGGGTGGTCCATGCTAGTGTTTCTTCCCCAGCGGTCTCCCCTTATTTTCCTCAATCTCCCTTATGTCGCTGAGAGAAACTTGGCTAAGTCCAAAAACCATTTACTGTGGCGGTTGTTGTTTATGTGAAAAGCAGTTCCGACGTTTTGTGTTGTGGCCAGGGATTCCAATATTTATTTCCCGTTGTCTCCTTTCAGCTCTTGAAGTCAAAACCAGATGTTGCTTTGTTTTGGTTGCCATTGTTCGGGATCTACGGTGGTGTATGGTGAAGTTAGGTGGCGCCCTTTCATGTAGTGTTGAAAGTTAGGTACTTCATGCACGGTATTAAAGCTCGCGCTCCCTGCAGCATGTCTAAGGAGGTGGCTGGACTGGCCTGCAGGCACTCTTGGGAAATTTTGGCACGACGATTGGCGTGTGGTGTTTTGCGGCCTGGGGTCCTAAAGCTAATACAACGGGCCTTGGGGAGTAAGCTGTCGAAAGCAGGTTTTAGGTTTTGAGCGGTTTAGATGCGGTCCACAAATATTCCCCTGCCCCAAAGAAAAAGAAGGTTTACTGGACTTGCTGTGGGAAGGATCCGCAAGCACTCTTGTAGTATTACGAAGCTTTGATGAAGTCCTGGTTAATCCCCGAAACTTGATGGTAGGAACTTTAGCGGCGCCTTTGATGTGTGGGAATTTGTGTTTCTCGATTTCAGGCGAGGGTTGGCCTCATGCGCGAATGGTGCTAACTTGAGTTCACAAAAGCACATAAGTAAGTATGTAGATATTACGGGTACAAGGATAGACAAACATAAATGCACGCACCGCTAAAAATCAAGCATGTGCGCAGATAGACAGATAGATAGGTAGAAAATAGATAGATAGATAGATGGATAGATAGATAGATCGATCGATAGATAGGTAGATAGGGAGACACATGGATAGATAGATAGATAGATAGATAGATAGACATATGGATAGGTAGGTAGATCGATCGATAGTTCGGTGAATAGATCGAGCGCAGAGCAATCGGCAGATGGATGGAGGGATGGATGGATGGATAGATGGATGGAAGGATAGATGGATAGATAGATAGATAGATAGATCATGGACAGATAATGGACAGAAGATAGATAGATAGATATTCAGATAGATAGACAGATAGATAGATAGATAGATAGATAGTTAGATAGATAGATTGGCATAGATCAGATGGACAGATAGTGAGATAGACAGACAGATAGACAGATAGATAGATAGTAGATAGATAGATGGTAGATAGATAGATAGGTAGATAGATAGATAAGCAGACAGATAGATAGGTAGGTAGATAGATAGATCGATAGGTAGATGGATGCATGGATCGATAGATAGATGGATAGATAGGTAGATGGGTAGATAATAGAGACATAGATAAATAGATAGGTACATAGATAGCTAGATAGGTATATAAGATGGATAGACGTCTAGATAGATAAACAGCGAAATATTCCGTGAGTTTGCCAATAAAACAACGAACCAACCCACCGACCAACCAACCAGCCCAACGATCGACAGACCAACCTACCAACCAGCTAGCCAAGCTTTCAAGCTTTCAACTGATTAAACCGACATGTCGAACAACCACGCACTCAAGCATATGAATACACACATGCACAGGTATGCATGCAAGCATGTCCCTGTACAAGTACTTACGTAAGTACGTGCTTGCATTTGTACATGTGTACATATATGTATACATGTATGAATGTATGTATGAATGTCTGTATTTTTAGATACTAACATTCGCCGTGTGTTTTCCGAGGAATTTCCTTCCTGGCCACGCCAAGCGTGCAGCAAGGTATATGGGCACCCTGTTGCGTCTCAAGGGCAACCGCAACAGGGAGGTCTCAAGCCGAGTGCAAGCGCTGAAATAAGCTGAGCGATCATGGGAAAATGTTGGTCACATGGCCGGCTGGCCAGACGACCCCTTGTACTGATGTTTACTGCCCTTGTGTACAATGAATGAATGGATGGATGGATGGATGGATGAACGGCATGAATGAATGAATGGATGAACGGAATGAGTAATGAATGGATGAAAGGAAGGAATGAATGAAGGAATGGATGGATGGATGG